ATATATTTATATATATAATATTATATTATATATACATAGGCACACAAATATACGTATACGTGTACTATTTATATTTATACATTTATATTTATATTGGCATACTTATACACATATATATATACAAGTTAATATATATTATATATTATTAATATTATATTTATAATAATATTATATATAAATGTAAATATATTATATATAATATAAATATAAATATAATATATAATGCATGCATAAAGAAGACTACAGGGGTGTTTTTGCGGTGTATATGATGAGTGGTGCTGATTTGTATAGATAAAGGCATAAATAGGCATTTAAATTAAATAAATAAATAAATAAATATAAATAATAATTATTTTATTAATTTAATGTTAAATAAACATTTATTTAACCACAGAAAGAAGAATTTTATTGCTGTTTATATATAAACAGCAACAGCAATATCTGCGGTGTATAGGCAGCTCATGTATGTAGTAAAAAGGAAGAAAGCAGCTATATATACATAAAGATCATATAATAAACACAATAAAAGAGGTAAAAAGAACAGAATAAACATTTATTTTATATAATTAATTAATTAATTAATTAAATTCATATTTTTTTTCAATAATAACACCTCTTATAAAGAAAGAGGTATAGAAAGAAGAAAGAAATTGCAATAAGCTGCCGATACACCCGAATAAATAATAATAATTAATAATAATTAGCTGGCTATACACCCCAATTAATAATAATAAATAAATAAATAAATAATAATAAATAAATAAATAAATAAATAATAATTAATATATATATAATAGGTGCCTATACACCTCAACTTGAATACCAACGAATAAATATCATTAAGAAGAATAAAACAGTACCAAGAGATATGCCACTCCCTCTCTCTGATTCTTCTTCCTGCATGCATACACATATATATATAAATAAACCCTAAACCCTAAACCCTAAACCCTAAACCCTAGACAGGAATGAGTAACAAAAAGTCAGTATCCAATAAAGGGTTTATGATTATATCCATCAGCAGCAGCAAAAAAAAAAAACAGCAGCAGCAGCAACAGCAGCAACATTTATCCCTATTAATAAATAAAATAAATAAATAAATAAATAAATAAATAAATAAATAAATAAATAAATAAAATAAATACGTACACATCTATCTAATAATTTAACGAATTCTTTCCTTTTCTCATCAAATCCATAAGTTGTACAATCTTCTCTTCTTAATAAACCATCAACTACTAAACCCTCAGGCTGTATATATACACACATATATATAAACCCTAAACCCTAATAAACCCTAATAAACCCTAATAAACCCTAATAATAAATAATAAACAATAATAAACCCTCATAATAGTACACTATATCAGTCTCTGAACATATACCCAAAATATAAACCCTAAACCCTAATAATAAACCCTCAAAACCCTCAAAACCCTCTAAACCCTAATAAACCCTCTAAACCCTCTAAACCCTAATAAACCCTCTAAATAAACCCTCTAAACCCTAATAAACCCTAATAAACCCTCTAAACCCTAATAAACCCTAATAAAAGGTCTAAACCCTTAAAACCCTCCAAACCCTAAACCCTAATAAATTACCCATGTTTTTTTTTCTCTTTGCATAACAGCTGCCCATAGATCAGGAGTAATCTCCTCATCATGAATAGGGTTTAGATTTAATCTCCATGGTGTAGATACTTCCTGTATCTCCGTAAACCCTAATAATAATAATTTATTTTTTCTTTCTTCTTGTATTGTTTTTATATTTATATTTTCTTTATAGGGTATAGATCTAATTATTGTTGCTATTTCTTCTTCTTCTTTTGCTCTTTTTCTTAATAATTCTTGTTGTTGTCTTCTTGCTGTTATCTTCTGCATAAATCTATCTGCTGCTGCACCTCCTCCTCCTGTTCCTATTCCTGTTCCTGTTCCTGTTCCTGTTCCTGTTCCTGTTGTTGATCCTCCTTCTCCTGATCCTCCTGATCCTCCTGATCCTGTTCCTGCTGCTCCTGCTGCAGCAGCAGCAGCAGCAGCAGCAGCAGCAGCAGATTCAGCAGCTAGCTGCTGAGGACGAGCCCAACGAACACGTTGAGGTAATGTGCCACTCTTAATTAATACATTCTCTGCTACCTCTAAGCATGCCTCCAATCTATAAGAAAAAAAAAAAAAAAAAAAAA